TGCACTCAACACTGTCATAAAAGAGAAAAAAAGAAGGATTTTTCAGGTCTTTCAAGCTCCCTCCTTCATCCCATAGTCACTGGAGTAACCGAACTACCTTGCACAAAGGACAGGGCGCTTGGTCGGTCTGCCCTTACCATAGGCATATTGTGAGGACCGGTATTGTATTGTACAAAAGTGGAAAATTCAAAATAAATTTTCCACTTTCATTTTGAAAATTCATTTTGAATTTTCCAATTTTTTGTAGAAAAGTCATTTTGAAATGAAGTTTTCTCTGTGACGATGAAGCCAAAACTCACAACAAATTAGTGGATTGAATTCCTCATCATCTGATTCACAAGAAAATGTAGTTCTTATCCGGTCAGGTACAGAAGCCTGCGGAGAACTATTTTTGAAACCGAAAACACAATTTTTTCGTTTTTGCCAGTTTTGTGTCTCATTTTTTATTGAAAGGAGCTATTGTAGACGGACGCGACTGCTATTTTTGAACTCTACGCATGTGAAAGCATATGAATCAGTCGAATACCCAATCTGTAATTTTTCCTTCCCGAGTTATAACCAATTTAAGTAGAGTGCATATAACACTGGTTTGGGCAGGTTAGAATGATAGAAGTCCGTAGTAATTCAGCTAATTAGTGCCGAACTCACCAGGCTATCGGCAATGTTTCATGTCCGAATCAAGAATCAGAACTGGTTCACAAACAAGCCCACAATCCGAAGTTTTCACTATTTTATATGTATTCTTATCTTCGTTTTCATTTCTTTCCTGCGTTGTTTAGCTACACATATGTATGAGAAAAAGAAAGAACAGATAAGATATGATACTAAAGGTTGACATATAATTAGATCCTTGAGCCTTCACATAAATTGTCACAGTTCTTATAAAACATATAAATGAAGTGAGTACTCATTATCTACTTGATTGATATATTACACACACGTAGCTTTTTATAAGTTTCAAAAGAGAAGGAAAACAGTGATCGATAATGATAGCGGTCAAGTTATCCTCTGTTTTAAAGATGCTCTTTACTCGTGCTCATACAAAAACAAATAGAAAAATAGATTTATTGTTACCACAGTGTATGTTTGTACTCATCGTCTCGGTTATCTGGAATCAGATGATGAGGAATTCAGTCCACTAATTTGTTGTGACTTTTGGCTTTATCTTCATACAGAAAAGTTCATTTCAAAATGACGTTCTGTTTTGCATTTTTATACAATTTTACTATGAGCGTGGCACAATACATAAGCACTCTGAAATTTTGATCCAAGAGAGCTTTTAGTTCCTCGTGGTCTCTAGTTTATATTTTGAAAGTTTCGTCCCATCAGCTTTAATACTTTTTGAAAAACTCTGCTTTCAAAAACACGATGAAATGCGTAAAAACGCCATCTTTCTTTCGTCGACGTTTAAAAAAAATAATAAATGTGATAAATATGATAATTTGCATCTGTTGTTACTAACTACTAGTAACAAGTAACAATTTTGTTACTTGTTACTAGTAACAGTAATGCTAAACAGCCAGCCCTATGTACAACTCAGTGTACAACTAAAAAATGTTCGTTTCCATTACAAAACACTGTTAAACACTGACATAATTATTTCTTTCATACAATTACTAATAACTTCTAAATAGAGTAAAAGTTTCCATTACACAAAACGGAATACCGAACACCTGGCGTTCACCATATATATAATTCTATCTATGGGTGTTCAACTGGTTTGACAAATTACACGTTTATTTATCATGCATTATAAGAGCTGAAAAAGTCGACTTTTTTTTCGCCAGACGGATTGAGCTGAAATTTTGGGTAACGAATAACGACTATTAGTTAAACGTTTTCTGAAAGTTTTATCAATGACGTCTCAACGGTTGCGAAGATAATTACTTTTATAGAAGGCGCTAAGTGAGTAACGTTTATTCGCTGTTGAACAAAAGTGATTGTTTCAAAGAAACGACAACGTCTGTCCGGAGTATTCATGATTTAAGCTGTTTTAGAACATGTTTGCCGAGTGTTCCAGGTTTTCTGAGTAGCTGTAGTCCTCTTCTGTTGCTTGATTACGGAACAGAAATCCTATCAAATGGCAATACTAAGTGATAAAAAAAAGAGAAGAAAATATAATTGAACTATAGAGATCAAATGTACCGCTTTCAGTCTTCTGCTCTTTGAAAGCGGGCTGGCAGTATCACACCTAAACATAACGAAGATATATACTTTTTATTGCCATCGTTGATAGGTGTATGAGGATTTATATGTGTAAGATTCTCGAATACAAATCGTGTACAAATTTTATTTCGGTAGAGTACAAGTGTACAAGATTGTTGATAAGCTCTTAATCAGTTTCGTATAAGCCTGTCAAAATGTATCAACTTGATCGAAGAGTAACTGAACGTTTCAGAATATATTCCGATCGGTCGTTACTCCGCTCCTTAGGTCGGTATAGGTACGATATGACATAATTTAGCACTGTTTTATACGTAACTGTCTTATTTCTAATTGCATAAATATATAACTACTTCTGTATGTTTATAGAACTTTATTCCTCTTTATAGAAAAGACCAAACTTTCTATTTTAATCTATGCGTTAATTTATGTCCATATAAAATTCATTCTTTTCTTACTTTCTTGTCTTTTACATCTATCTATGTAGATCTAAAATAAAACTGACTATCCCTTTCTGATTTTTATGCTGGTTTCAAGTACCCAAGTTGCACTCTGTGCCGAGCTATATTTTAGAAAAAGATTCTTTCTCAGATAAATTTTATGTGCCAAATAAGGAAAAAGAAGCAAATTTTATTCCGATAGATTACAAGCATACAAGGTTGTTGATAAGCTCTTGATCATTTTCGTACAAGCCTGTCAAAATGTATCGATTAGATCGAAGACTAATTATTTCCTATTTGCTTCAGAACATCTTGAACCATATTCCAACAATGAAAATTTGGACGTATGTTCATACTGACTACACTGAATATTCGACGAAAATAGTATTTTTTCTGATGTTGTGTACTCCATTTGATGGTTGATTTGCTCATTTTTCTTTATTTCGCACATAAAGTTTATCTGAGAAAGTATCTTTTCTAAAATATAGCTCGGCACAGAGTACAACTTGAGTGCTTGAAACTGGCATAAAAAGCAGAGACGGATAAAATTCTAGTCAATATTTACACTACAGTCAGGCTCGCTGGAAGCTTATTTCATATTCCATCAACTTCGCGAACAAAATCTACAGTCATTTCCATCTTTTGTACTAGTTTTTCGTTACTGTACTAGTTACTTTCTGATTTTATTCTTTAAACAGAAAAACGTCTGCTCTTATAAAGATATCTGTTAAAAAAACGAACATATTGGAAGTATATACATGTCAATGTATGTATCCACAATAAAATCAAAGGAACCGAAATTATACAAAATAAAATAAATTAGAATTGAAATTTTGACATGCTCCCTAATCAATATAAAGGGCTGCTGAATAAATAATGTAGTCAAATAAGGACAAAATTTAATAAAAGTATTACTAGAAAAACATTAAAATACTCAAAGATGCCATAAATAAAGAATGTTGTCGATTGCATACTAGATTATTAAATTGAAATTCTTCTGTAATTGTTAGATCTTCAAGTTCGTTTCTGTGTACTTTAAGTCCGTAATAGAGGAACAGCGCAAATAGCGAAATAGTCGGGGAATAGAGGAATAGCGACCGACCGACAGGAATATATATATGAATATATATAAATATATGTTGAAACGTTCTCTAACCTAAATGAGAGAAACGTAACAAATGGCTCTCTATAACTTGTGAAGATTACAAGATGAATGAACTATTTCTGTTAAAATATAAAATTGCTGCTTTCCTTAGCTTATCCCACTGTCCATTGCAGTGCGTATATAGAAAATGAAAAGTGGTAAGATCAAAAGAGCAGAAGACTGAAAGCGGTACATTTGATCTCTATAGTTCAATTATATTTTCTTCTCTTTTTTTTTATCACTTAGTATTGCCATTTGATAGGATTTCTGTTCTGTAATCAAGCAACAGAAGAGGACTACAGCTACTCAGAAAACCTGGAACACTCGGCAAACATGTTCTAAAACAGCTTAAATCATGAATACTCCGGACAGACGTTGTTGTTTCTTTGAAACAATCACTTTTGTTCAACAGCGAATAAACGTTACTCACTTAGCGCCTTCTATAAAAGTAATTATCTTCGCAACCGTTGAGACGTCATTGATAAAACTTTCAGAAAACGTTTAACTAATAGTCGTTATTCGTTACCCAAAATTTCAGCTCAATCCGTCTGGCGAAAAAAAAGTCGACTTTTTCAGCTCTCTGATAATGCGAATAAACTTTGAAACCATTATGTAAAAAAATGTGTATATTTGTCTACAGAAAACAAATCAGCCATATTATGTTTTTCTTCTTACTTTATAGACATAACATATTTAAAATATATAAAAACTAGAAAGAGAGAGATTACTTGTAATACAGTTAAGAAATAGAGAACACTTCAAACATATGTACCATAGTTTAATAAAACTAGTTTATTCCGAATTAAAGTATATTCAATAGGGCTATTACCTGTCTTCGGTGCAAACCACAATAAGTACTCCATGCTATTGACTTGCTATACCAGCAAATGACAAGAAGACTACCTTATTGGTGGTGCTTATCGTGGTAATAGAGTTTGATTATAAAGGGTCATACTTGGTGAACAACATCGCACGTGTGACATATGTGATCTTGTCAAAACCTCGTTGCTATATTAACGTACTACACAATTTCAGAGTTTCCTACAACCAAAGTCATAATTTAGTAGAGTCTATTTTGTCTTAGATTATACTAGTTATATACTCTTATGGAACACATGACCATCAAACACTCTGTATTCGTTCATCCACTAGATAGGAGATAGTACTTATTATAAAATTCTTTAATCATCATATCAAAACAAATTAAAAATATGTCGATAATATAAATCAAAAAGTTTCAAACGAAAAAAAGTTTATAGAGCAATCTTTTTTGCCAAGTCTTTGGCTTTCTTTGTAAATTCCTCCTTGTTTGAGGAATAAAGGCCAGCTGCATCTTTATTGGCTGGTTTATCATCTATGCTTGGGTTTGCTATCATTGGAGATATTGATGATAGAACAGGACCCAATGCTGATTTTGGAGTCCATGCAGTTGCATCATCAGGATTTATGTTAACGCTCCCATCTTCGTAGACATTAGGATGATACAACGGAGGATCGAATTTAACTTTTGGTGGTTTAAACGGATATTCAGTTGGAAATTCAATTAAAATTTTGAATTTGCCACCTTCATATGGGCTGCCTTGTGGTCCATGAAATACACCACGCCAAACTGTTGCATCTGTTGCATCAACTTGTTCAATATCAGTAATTCCTTCAGGAAGATCCTTTTGTAAATCTATTACTGCATGGACAATACGAGTTGACTGACCTGTTGCCATTATTCTTTAATCTTAAAAAATATCTTTTATCAAAACCAAAAATTATTTCTCCTTCTGATAAAAGCTAGTTATATTACGGTGCAGGATAAAAATCTTTTATTTTTTTAGTTGTGTCTGTTCAGGCCTTTTTATATGTTCCGTCTGAGAAAAGAAAAAGTGTTTCTTTTTTCACCTTCAATTAAAGCCCGAAAACATTTTGTGTTTTTTTCGCTTTTTGCCTGTTATTTGAATACAAATGATATTGAGTCAACAAAGTAAACGATTATTCATAAAAACTCAAGTATATCACTATAGAAATGGACGAGTTACTACTGAATGCGAAATAACTACGTGTGGCTTAAAAGTTTTGTTTTTGCGAAATGTATCGTATTTTTTCTTCTTACCTTGCAATCAAGTAGTTTCTTTCACCAAAATATTTTGCCGTTCGCCGCAAATAGTGGCAAAATGATAATAGCTTCTACGCGTTTCACGTCGACTGGCTACCATAATGTTCGCCAGATAGAATAAAAGAGAGTGTGGCTTGATATAACACGATTGAATATTATGTAGCGGTTTCTCTCCATCTTAGACAATGAATAAATCCTTAGAAGTGAATTTCATTCAAAATTCTATCCGTCTGCCGTTTAAAATTGTGCGTTAGGCTCTGAAATTTTTTCGCGCCGTAATTGTACGCCGAAATATATAAATAGCGTGTATTGTCTCTTTTAATGTTAGATGTGTATCTCTTTTGACTACAGGCTCAAATGAAAGTCAGATGGTGATCATCGGTAGTAACAATAAACCTTTTTTATCCAGCCACTAATACTAAAGGACAGTGGTGTCCGTTCAAGAGCGACTTTTTCACTTCCTGGTTGAGTCAAATAAGATTGTAGATGACATTTCTTTCAGAAAAGCTTGGTTCTTAAATCTTCCGTAAACTCTCATCCATAACAGAAGATCAGATGGTTTTTTACTTCTTTTGCCAGCTGAAAACTTTTAGGGTGGTCTTCTGTCCAGGTCAGTGTTTGTGATCATAAGATTGCCTGGTGGAGTCCAGTTATGACCTTAGTGCAATTATGTGTAACCTTAAAACCGCTCTCGAGATGTGTTAGTGATCTTTAATCATTCAGGACCTTATTTACGATATTACAGCCTTTGGTTATAATCTTAAAACTGCTGCGAGGTTTATAGTTATTATCTTTTTAATCAAGAATCATACCCATGTCGTCAGTTTCTGTTGAAGCTGGCGGTTAATTGCAGCTTAACGGTTCATTTTGACTGCCAGATGAATGATGTAAAACAATATTTATACGAATTTCAGTGATTTTAGTATCGTTTTTAAAGAAAAAACTGAACCAGAATGAAAGTGGCCAGAAAATTATTTTAACACTATAGGCTTATAGAGGACACTTGGAAGTCTGTAAAAACAAACACTTTCCAAACTACCAAGTCCTTGTCTGCTAAAATCCTGGTTCATATCACCGATAAAAAAAAATTATTTTGTTTAGAGTTAAAGAAAAGTGCCTTTTCGTATTCAGCACACTTGATAATCTGGAAAATTTTCTATTTTCAGCGAGGGGTACCGCCAAAAAGTTAAGAAAAATTTTCAAACAAATTGACGCAGAAAAGTCCCCATGGTAAAATCATACAATTTTAAAAAATTTTCTGAACTTTTTGGCGGTACCCCTCGCTAAAGATAGAAAATTTTCCAGGTTATCAAGTGTGCTGAATATGAAAAATCACTTTTCTTTAACTCTAAATGAACTTTAATTTTTTGTCGGTGATACGATTTACTTTTATAACCCAACATCGAAAATGCGATTTTCTCGGCTTTTCAGCTGAAAATTATAACTGAGTTTATAAAGGTATTCAAACATATGTTTTCATACATGATTGAGTTTTAGCAGTATTGAGGGTTTGCTTTACCAAGAGTAACAAAGTACCAATTACTTTGTTACTAGTAACAAGTAACAGTTGTAAATTTGAATAGAAAGTACAAAACTGCTCTAAACCTTTTATTTACTTCACTAATATTTCGGCGAGTGGTGTCTCGTCATCGTCTGCGTAAAGCAAGATACTAAGCTGTATATTAAATTCAAATACAGAAAGCAATAAAGGAGAAAATGAAAACAAAGAAATCACACTGCATATTTTAATACTAGTAAATTATGATAGAACATATGTTCCATACTTAAATATAACATATGTTGTTATACTTTCTATTCAAATTTATTATTAATACTGCTAAAACTCAATCATGTATTAAAAATATTTGTCAAAAGTATCGCGAATCAACATTCTTAACAAATTGATGTGTGGAAAAATTGTCATTAAAATATCAAAAAAGCAAATGTGATACTGAATACTTAGGACTGTGCCTAATATACAACTTGACTCCAAAATTTGTACGTTTTACGTTATGGGAAAATAAAATTCGATCTAGCGAAGCATATCGTCAATCCCAATTAGTCGGTCATCTTGTTTTCAAGTTTTAGAACTTCTGCACCACTTTTAAAACAAAGTTTTTGCGCTCAGTTTGTTTGAAATTGAATTTCTCTATCGCATGTAACCTTTGAATTCTCGGCTAAATTCTGTTTGGAGGATTGAAGGTGGTATTTTCTGAAAAATTTTGATCCTTCAGAATTCCAATTCTCCATTTCAATTCTCCCATTCTTCTTCTATAGTCAAAATATCAGAGGCGGCTACTTTCTCAAATCGACGATGGTGTTCATTTCGTAAATTCTATAACTCCGCCAGAATAAGTCAGAAAGCTTTTTCATATTTTTCATAACCCCAGTTTTGATAGTAGAATCCGAATATAAAATAAAAAGTATATGTTAATTTTTCACTCGTGACTTGATTTCTTGATGAATAATATTTTTACAGGTTTACTTATATCTATTTAAAAACTTTAAAGCTGTGCTAACTTCTCGGCACGCCCTTTTGCTTTTCGTTTGCCTAACGGTTTAAAGCTTTTAAATAGATATAAGTAAAACTGTAAAAATATTGTTCATTTGGTTAAAATCTCAATGAATATGCTTGTGTCGTACAAAAAATAAAAATGTCAAATACGTGCTGAAAAATTTGGCGATGAAAAGTATCTTTTTTTAGTGATCATTTGTATCTAAATATGTTTGGTGATCAAA